CTGTGTGAATGAAGCCTTCTGGGTGAGCTAGTCCCAGCCTGTCAGTGGACTGCAGACACACGAAGGAGCCCCAACTGGGCAGCAGAATCTTGAGTTGAATATAATAATTAATTACCAAATTAATGTGGCTTATTTTTAAGAAAGTACTAAACTAACAATTTTAGTGAAATAAAACTTAAAATGTATTTAAGGAACGTACTTTAACTTCTTAATAAAGATAGATAAAACTTCATGGCAGTAATCACCAACATGCTACTTCTGGCTGATTCTTAGGGCCAGAGTTTAAGATATGTATAGTCCTAGAATGAAAATTTTTTTAAAAAAATGCGATTAAGGTTTTTTTTGATAGTACAAATTGGCACAGCTGTCAGATAGAAGATCTTTCAGGTTTGTGCTATAATTATTGTATTTATAAAACCTTAAAAACAGAATTCTGAGAATCAGACTTTCAAGACTCCAACTTCCAAGGAAATAAGAATGACTGTTTTACTACTCTTAAACATCAAAATAACAATATTAAGTTTAATGGTCCTTAAGAAATAGCCGCCGGGCGGTGGTGGCGCACGCCTTTAATCCCAGCACTCGGGAGGCAGAGCCAGGCGGATCTCTGTGAGTTCGAGGCCAGCCTGGACTACCAAGTGAGTTCCAGGAAAGGCGCAAAGCTACACAGAGAAACCCTGTCTCGAAAAAACAAAAAAAAAAAAAAAAAAAGAAATAGCCATAATTCACATATACACATACTTTCATAGCATATCCTATTTTAGAAAATTGGGGGAAAGAGAAAAGTTATATTGTTCCTGTCCCCCCCCAAAAAATCTAACATTAATATCTGGTTTCAAATTCTTCCTATCCACGATCACTTGATATTTTACATGTTTACATTTTGTTATTGTCACTGCAGGATAAAATAGCCCAAAGGTTCAATCCATTAAAATTCTTTGAATATACTTATTATGAGTCTTTGTAAGCTTGTTTCAATCTGTTTAACACACTATTTTAGAAATGTCCCAGACTTAAACTTCTGAGTATTTTAACTTTTTTGTATTTATTTGAGATAAGTTTGCTGCATAGATTTTTACATCACTATTTACTGTAAAGCTTATGGATACTTTTGATCTGCATCTGAAAGCACATAAATATCTCACTTGTGGTGCGGGGTCTCAGTGTGCTTCTTGAAGGTTGTACCTGTCGCTATGGACATCTGGCTCCATCTTCTTTCTTCTGCACTGAGGGTTCATCACAAGAAACAAAAGCTACACTGCATCATGAGTAAACGGGTACTCCATCGTCTTTCTCTCTTTTCTTTGTTAATGGAGAAAGTGCCGTGATAGAGAGCTCTGGCTGGCCTGGTGTTCACCTTGTAGGCTAGGCTAACCTCAAACTCATGGCAACCTTCCTTCTTTATGTTTCCGAGTCCAGGCATTGCAAATGCTTTGCCACTCTTGGCTGCCAGCTGTTTTCTTTATGTTCCTCTTTATATATTTTGGGATTTTTTTCTTACCCTTATCACTGATTTGCATTATTTTATATGATCTGTCCATGTATGTCAGGAATTTGTCTTTCTCTCTTGTCGTGTAAAAAAATTGTTAGAATAAAAATTGTACTTCTTGGTCAGATTTGTAGCATGCATTTTTACCTCTGTTATTTGCTCTTTAGTACTTACTGTTATGACATGCTTGGAAGTCCAGACATTTATATTGGAATGCAGGAGTCTGATGCTGTGTGCAATGTTTGCTTTGATTGATCTCTGGAAACCATCTGTTCTGTCTTCACTTGCTCAGTGATACAGTTTTTTCTTCTTTATGTTTGCTTTGGGTTTACCCTTTTATTTACTTTTAATCTTTAGTTAATTAATATTAGCTCATTAACTTTCTAGTTTTCCTCAATAGCAATTACAATTATAGCCTCATTTACTTAGGTGTGAATCAATAAATTTAAAGGTAATAATTTAATTATTATATATTCTGATGTGTTTAATTTTTCCATTAAGTCATTTTAATTCCTGAAGTATTGACATGTTTTCATATGTAGAAAACATTTAAAGCATTAGTCTTTATTAATTTCTTTATTAATTTATTAATTTCTAATAGATTCTGTGACAACTAATGTTTGAGTGGTACCAGTTCCCAAAAGTTTATGGTGACATGTTTCTTGGCCTAAAATATTATTATTAGCTTTTTGTAAAGGACACATGTTGGAAAATAATTGATCTTATCTAGCTGTTTCATATAAAGGTCTACATATACTCTCTAAGTCAGTGTTGTTAATTTTGCTGGTCAAATTTAAATGAGTTGACGTTGAAGATCTTTTATCTGATGACACTTAAAGATATAAGCAAATTTCTAACTATGTTGACTTTGTCACTCCAGCTCTTCAATGTCTGTCTTCAGAGTGTCAATGTTAGGTACACACTCATCTAGAATTACTGCCAATCCTTGTTTAAATGGAATGTTCACCACAGATGTCTCACATTGTGCCTAAGGATTCTTGTTAAGGTCTAGTGTCTATTCTAGGTACCAGCCAGCAACTTCTTTAGTCTTCTTACCTATTATATTTTACCACCATTTTCTTTCTTTCAATTTTTTGATCATGTTTAAGGCATCTCTTATAAAGAACTTACGCATTAAAAAAAAAAAAAAAAACTGCCAGGGCCAGGGAGCTGAAGTGATAGCCCAGAAACCGAGAACATTAGTTGCCCTTTCAGGGAACTAGAGTTTGATTCCCAGTATCAACATGGTACCTCACGCCGGGCGGTGGTGGCGCACGCCTTTAATCCCAGAACTCTGGAGGCAGAGCCAGGCGGATCTCTGTGAGTTCGAGGCCAGCCTGGTCTCCAAAGCGAGTTCCAGGAAAGGCACAAAGCTACACAGAGAAACTCTGTCTCGAAAAACCAAAAAAAACAAAACAAAACAAAACAAAAAACAAAAACAAAAAAAACATGGTACCTCACAACCATCTGTAACTCCAGTTCCAGTGCATCTGACACCCTCTGTTGACCTCCATAGGCATCAGGCACACACACTGTGCACATGCATACAAGCAGGCAAAATATTCATGGGCACAAAATAAATCTAAATAATTTTTTTAAAACCTGGTTTAAGTACAAAAATCCAAGCATGGATAGGAGAGGAGGTCATAAAGTCCTGCTTCTAGCTAAGAAATTATTCACCATTGACAGTTTCTGGGAGAGAGAAAGTCAGTTTTCTTCAAGGTTGTGACCTTTTAGAGGCTACCTATGATCCAGTAAGTGATTCCACAACCATGTACGTACTGGCAGCACTAAGTGGACGCAGTGGTTTTGAAAAGGAACACATGAAATTGGGAGGGAATAGTGGTGGAGGCTTAGGGAAGAAATTGGGTGGAAGAGGACTTGATCAAAACACATTATAAAAATATATAAAATGTTCAAAAAATTCCTCTTTAACAATTGCTATCCACAGACAATGCTAGTAGAGGTATGGCCTTTAGAAGGTGATTAGGATATGAGCCTTGACCTTAGTCCCCCTCCAAAAAGATGGAGATGGACTCTAAAAATCACCCCCAGTGGACTGACTTAACTTGTCCTTCCCACCTTTTCTGTCATTATGAAGACCTTGTACTTATGCACTCCAGAGGACATAGTTTTCATGATGCTGCCAGAGAAGTAAATGCTGGGCTCCCACTAGACACTGCCCACTCACCCTGATCTTGCACTTTAAAAAACAGACTCATCACCTTCATCTGTGAACTGTTTGTAATTGTCTGTCCAGTCAGGACACAGAAATCTCAACATCAGCTAACACAGGAAACGTAAGAAGCATGAGCATGTGATTGTGATAGGAAAGCATTGTGAAGTTATAAAGAAAAAGATACCAAAGGGTTCAACACACGAGGGGAGGAGGGAGAGAGGAAGAAGGGGAGGGTGAAGGGGTGAGAGGGAGAGAAAGAGGAAGGCAGACAGAAAATGGATAATGTGATACTATAAAGGTGGACATTCAGACTTTCTGGAGAGAGTGTGGTAGCAGCAGCTGCCGATGATAGAGAAGCTGCCTGAATCACATTAATCTGCGCTTGGCAGGAAGACAACACATCTCTGCAATGCAGGCGAACCCTTCTTGAGAGTGGCACTCATTTAGACTTCAGTTTCCACTGTGGGTATGATGCCACACTATATGAGAAGGACTAGAGAAAATCATCCTTTCATGTAAGTATGCTAGAGATTGTGAGGACTCTGCAGAGACACCAGTAATGAGGAAGTTCCTCTTGTCCCTGCATCATGGCTGACAAGCTGCGTAGGTTATGGGAGATCTGCTCCCACTTTTAGCCCAGGGTACTCTTGAGGAGGGAGAAGTGAGAAATATGTAGATAGAATGATAGAGGGGAGAGAAACAAATACACAGGATAGCCTCAGGAGGGCCTGGATCCTTACCCACTAGCACCTGCTGTCTCTTCTAAAGGGTCTTTTAAAGGAATGCCACGGGGGTAGGGCAAAAGACCTCCCTTGCTAGATCAAAGTGTACCACACATCTAAGTGCAGACCCTTCCAAACACCTAGTAACCATGCATGTGGTCAAGCAATTCTCTAATGCAGCCTTGCTGGGTAAAGCAAGCTCAGATCTCACTAGGAAATCATTGTGGGCCTCCACAGTAGGTGTTTGAACATTTTCACTGGAGTTCTTCCCTAGTGCTACATCCAGCCTGTAGAGCACCTATGGACCCATGCAAACCTGTCAACCATCCCATCAGGTACTCCTGACATGGCCAATGTACTTCCCAGACCATTCCTTTCTCATGTCAATCTTCTAGCTGCCCCAACCTGTGCTCATGAGGATTAATTGCACTCATGAAGTTTATTTTCCATTACTCTCCCTGCATGGACACATGGTTGACAACATCGCAGCCACATGCCTACCACAGTCTATGGCATACTTCTATTAAAAGATGGTCTCCTCTCCTCTGCTCTCCTCTCCTTTTCTTTCCTCCCCTCCCCTCATCCCTCTTGTCTTCTTCCCATCACCCACCTGTTCCCTCTTTGTTGGTGTGCTGTACTCTCTGCTATCCCTTTCTTTATAGCTTCATGATACTTTCCTAATACAATCTCATGGTTCTTCATAATATCTTTTCTATTGTAGATGACATTGAGATTTCTTGTCCTGACTGTACAGATGCTGGCTCAACAGTTTATAAGATGAAGTAAAACTTCCATCCACACAGAGATCTTCCAGAAGAAAAACACTTCAAGGACACGGTGAACTTCAGGTGCTTCTAAGGAACAATGCTGGGATACAGACAAAGCCTTTGACAAGCAGCAGCAGCCAGCCTAGCCACAGTTTCTGCAGATGCTAGGTAATGCAAGAATACTAACAAAGAAAGGAAGCCACTGCAAATCATCCTAACAGTACAGGGAATTCCACATTTCAAGGCATTTGACAATACTTATTATCATTCCTGAAATCAAGTATCTTTTGAAATGAAAAGAATCAGTTAAAGAAAAATTAGAAAATAATTTAAAAGGAATAAAGCAAAACCTTCTAAGGGATGACTCAGCCCTAACAGGCTTGAGGGCCAGCTGGCCCAAACCAGTAATAAGATACTGCCTGAGAGCCAACCTGGGTCTGCCTAAGCAACAACAGCTGAGACATGATCTGAGATGATCTGGACCAATGAGAGTCAGCCATGTCACACCAGCAGATGCATATTCATCAGACCTTCCCCCCCCCCCCGGGATGGGGTGGAGGGTATGTAAGGCTTGTCTCTTCCTGAATAAACTGAGCTTGTTGTTTTGACATTCTCCCAGAGTCTGTGTCATTGACTCTGTGCCTACTAGGCCCCTCCCTCAAAGGGAGCAGCACAGGACCCTGACACACACAGGTAATCAAATACAAAATGCATACATATGTCTTTAAATGCTTATTATGAGATGTGAAAAAGATTAAAAACCATGATAAAATTTCCATATAATATCCCAGAAAGAGATGTAGAAGAAAAAATTGTAAAGGAATCACTGAAATTCATGCTGAACAACAACAACAAAAAGTAGAAAATAAATTAAAAGAACCAATTTGTAGCATGAATCTTAAAAGTTCTTATTAATAAAATCAAACCTGAGGCCAGTTATTGGGGTGAATGCTGGTAGATCAGATGCAGAACAAGTCACAGCTAACCTCACCTGGCCAACTTCTCAGCTGGTCTTGTTTCCTCAGACTGGAAGCCTCTGTGTCCTCATATCTGAATGGCTCTCAGCTGAAATGTGCTGCTAGAAACCTGAAAGCTTAACCAGCCAAATGCTGCTAGTTTCTGGTCCTCACACCTTATATACCTTTCTGCTTTCTACCACCACTCCCTGGGATTAAAGGCTTGCTTTCTAGGATTAAAGGCGTGTGTCACCATGCCTGGCAGTTTCCAATGTGGCCTTGAACTCACAGAGATCCAGAGGGATTTCTACCTCTGGAGTGCTAGGATTAAAGGTGTGAGTGCCACCATTTTCTAGCCTTTGTATCTAGTGACTGTTCTGTCTCTAACCCCAGATAAGTTTATTAGGGTGCATAATATTTTGGGGAACATAATACCACCACACCAATTATCTCCAAGAAATAATAAAATCCATTAAGGCACAAATTCTAGAAATGATAAAGTGGTTATTGTTATGTAACTTTAAAACTTATGAACAGCAAATGTACCAACAATGTTATACATAAAAACAGCAATGTATGTTGAAGTCACTTGTAAATGCAAATTATAAAAAAATGCTTACAAGCCAGGCAGTAGTGACACATGCCTTTAATCCCAGCACTCAGGAGGCAGAGCCACGTGGATCTCTGTGAGTTTGAGGCCAGCCTGGTCTATAGAGCAAGATCCAGGACAGACACTAAAGCTACACAGTGAAACCCTGTCTCGAAAAACAAAAAACAAAAAACAAAAATTCTTACATATTACATAGGAAACCTGTTATTCTTATCTTTTAAAGGGTCTAGTTTAACACTAAAATCCAGCACACACACACACACACACACACACACACACACACACACACACACACTCTTCTGCATACATACACAAATACACACATGCACACTCATATACTCATCTATATACAGTTGCACATATGCACACACACACATGCCTACTCATATACATACACACATTCACTCAACCCCCCACATATGCACACTGGCACACACAAATACTTACACACATCTAAACATATACCGAGCATATGCAAATGTGTATACATCTTAAATACATACACACACGATAACATTTGATTTATTTGGCAATTAGTTTTGATATTCAACTGTATATGTAGTTACCTGTGAACATACTATACAGCTGTAGCATTCCTTTAAGTAAATCCATAGTGTTAAATTATATGGCAATGTCATTATTTAATCCTGTAGTTACATATGTTAAGCCTGCATCAGAATAGCTTGTGGGTTTGATCAAGCACAGATTGCCAAAACTCACCACTGGATCTTCCGGCTCAGTTGGTCTGTGGTGGGACCTCATGTTTAGGTTTTAGCTCCATGCTTGTGGTTCCTTAAAGTATTAGTAATTACTGTTATTTCTCTGTTTTGGTTTCTTGTGACTATTGTTTACCTCTGTTCCAACTTTTGTGAATCCCAATCTATGTATTTTAAGTGTTTTCTTCACTTACACTTCAGACCAAGACCACCAGGACAATCGCAGGTTGGGCTCTTTGATTCTCTCAAAATGGTGAGCATATGCAAAGTTCATATACTCCTCACTGTAGGAATACAGTGATTTTTTTCTGTAATAAATGTTCAAACCATTTTAGTACAATGAACGAAAAAAGATACATTCTTTTATAACTAACTTAAGTTAGAAAAAAAATGTACACTAAATGGACTCATAAATGCCTACTATAGTCATAGACCCTTAATGTATATGAAAGGCCATCAATGTTTTTTATTTTGATTTATTAAAGTTTCATCTTCATGAAAAATACTTCTTATGTTAAGGTAACAGAAAGATTAAGAGCTGAATTATGAATGACAATTTCTCAGGCTGGGAATAAAACTGAACTATCTAAACAGTTACCTGTATTCTGTTTCTACTATCAGATTTCTAGAATAATCCAGAATCATTGCTTCTCTAAAATACCTGTATTTGAAGAACTTACATGGGAAACTTATTTCAGGAGCCAGACCTGCGTTTCATATCTGAAGGGCAGAATGCTGTCTTTAGGAGTCATCTTAGAGTCTGGATCTTTCTCCTTTCCCATTCACCTTCATTTTGTAACTACATCTAGCCATGTAAGGAATTTCTAGATTTTCTCATTAATTTTTCAAAATTTAGTTTCTCTCAAACACATACACTCATCAGTTTTGACCAAACTCCAGAAAAACATTTTGCACATTGAAGAATGTGTATTTCAGTGTATTTAGGTACATGCCTTCCGCATCAAAGTTCTGGTGTACTATTAACTGATTTACCTGTTAAGAAAGAGAGATACCGTGAAGTAATCAGACTAAATTTAAAGAGAATATCTGCACAAAGAAATGGTCACCCACATTTAAGATGCTTAAAGTAAATGATCAATAAATAATTTGTATACTTTTTGTCCCATATCCTTTACAGCATAATAGTCTAAAATAAAACTTTAACAGTTTACCATATAAATAGATAAATGCAAAATTGTTAGTTTATCAAAGGTTTTATGTTTTAATCTGTTTTCTAATATACTCAATGTGAGGGACAACAAACATTTACTAACCATATTTTAGTTAAATGTTATTAGAAATTATTTTGAACTTTGAATAAAAATGTTTATTGCATAATTTGAAGGGATCAGCTTAATATAGCTTGTATCAAATTAAAAAGGATTTTTTTGATATACATTCATATTTTTAGAAAAGAAAAGGTTTCTTTGGCCCTCAGGTTTGGAGGTTTCCAACCTTGGTCTGTGTTCTTGTGTCTGTGGAGAGACAAGCACAATCTAGCAGAGAGTGCTTGTTAGAATAAAGCCACTCACCTCAGGGTCAAAAACAAATGAGGAAACAAATGAGTGACTAAGTCACTTGGAAGATGTGCCCCCAGTGGCCTACAACTCCCACAAGATTCCATCTTCTAAAGGTTCCACCCCTCCCCAAAAGTGCCACAGGCTAGGGACATTTCAGGTCCAACTTATAGAAGCATTATGAATAAAGCTGCTGGCAACATTCATGGGCACATTTTTAGGAGGACATGTTTTTGCTAATTTGATTGATCTAGGAGCAGACAGTTAAAATTTATATTCATTTGTGACAAATGTACCATAATCTATTGAGGGTTATAAACAACTCCTTCCAGAAGGAAGATTTCATTTTTCAGTATTATAAATAAGATCTGGCCAGTGATTGCAGACATCACAATTATCTAAGTTAATTATTGATGGTGTCTCAGGAAATTAATATTAATAACATAAACAAACAGCAGTTCAATCTCATATAACCTGCTGCAGAATAAGACAGTTTCCTAATATCAGTGTCCATCCTTCAGATTTGCATACTAGGCTTCTAGTATCCAAGTATGAAAGCAGCATAAAACAGAAGTAGCATTTCTAGAGTTAACTTTAGTACATTCTCAAAATCTAGACTTGCAAATAAAAAAAACATAATATTTTAAGTAAATTTCACTACATCTATGAAAATGAAAGTTTAAAGTCAAATAAAATATAAAATATTTTGTTAGAGCTATAATGATTTAGTATTCTAAAAAGAACTAATTTATTCTATCACATACCAAATAAGTTCCAAAATACATCATTACACCACAACCAAAATATTCCAATTCAAATGGACAGATGGGTGCTGTCATGGGTGCCCACACCCATTGCACTGTGGGTTGTAGATTATAATATAAAAAACCATAATATATATTATGTGAATGTTCTAGAGGGAGATAGATTGAATTGTTTTAAATATTTAGTTTTAAATTTTAACACTACTGAAATAACAGGATTGGAGTCAGGAATCAGTGTAAAGATTTTATTTTCTCTTTATGCTATATCATCTAGGTTCTATTTAAAAATTGTTTTCTGTGGACATATTTATGTTTTACACTTGTATTCTGTACTCGAACTAAAGCCAAAAATGAATCTTAGGACTACAACATGCCCCAGTTAACCCCATCATTACCAGTTAAGTGAATCCTTATCAATATTCCCATGAGACTGCTTCAATCTCCATTAATAAAATTGTTTTTCTGTTTCAGAATTATTGAAAAATAGATGAACTCTTTTTCCTCTGTACTATCCAATCATAAAGGACAGACAGGCTGGCATTTTGCCTAAGCAAGGACCAAATGAAACATTTAAAATATTGCTATGGTAAATATTAACCTTCAGTGTCCTTATTCCCATGAATTTATAGCTAATCTCCATGGCAACAAGATGCACTATTGACCCTGACTTAAGGTTAATCCTTCTTTGTTTTCTTTGTCTTGTTCAGAATTAGACTGAAGAAATAAATACAAAAACCCAGATTCTAGCTCAACATTTCAGAAGATGATTCTAGCAGTGTCT